AGACCTTTAGGAAACATTACACATAGTGTTTTGAATGTCCCTTAACTCAAGAGACAGTTGGCAGAGGCAGCAAGTCTTCCAGGCAGGTGGGTTCCACAGAGGCTGTGGGCTTGCATTTGCACTCCTTTTTCCCCTACCAAATCCTAAAGCACAGGGTTTAACATCCTCCCTACCTGGCATGTTGTTCCCATGTTACTAACATCAGTGAGATCTCTGTTCATTTACCTCCTGTGCTGCAAAGCACCAAACAAAGCATTTTCCTCTTTTGGAGAGGTGGTAGCTGAAACTGTCTGTAGTTCCACATCCTTGTCCTGGAGATCCAAGATCTGGGTATTTGGATGTGTTTGTTTCATGGTTAAAGAGGTAAGGGACAGAGCTGAGGGTGGCAAGACAACCACCAGCAGGTGTGTGGATATGTGATTAGTCAAGGTGAGGTATGTATACATATGAGCTACATCATCCCAACAGTAAATCTACCATGAGCTTTGGGACACAAGTGAGGAAGAAGTCTACAGGTGAACTGTGAGAGGGCAGCTGTGGACAGTGAGCACCTAGCCTGCAGATGTTGCTTGCCTCCACCTGCTGCAGTGGTCCAGTTGGCTTTGTAAACATAACTCATGCTATGGAGATGTCTTTTGTGGGCAGCAGAGACATTTCTAATGTGTATATTGTCCCATGTAACTCTGGATGTGATGTATCTGCTGCTCCCAGAACTTGCTTTTGCCTGCTCGCAGGCCTGCAACCCTGGATCTGGGTTCCTATGGACTTATGCTTCTGATTAAGAACAGAGTGTTACTGAAAAAAAAACTGCTCCAAAATCAACAGCACATTTCCAGAGAGCCCACTTCTTGATTATGTACCTGGAACACCTTGAAGTCCTGCTAGACCATCTGCAAGCTGCAGGATTCACCCAGCACAGTGAGATGGCATCTTGAGTACCCATTTGTTTTTTGTTTTCTTTCAGAGCTGATATGGGGAACGTGCAGGAGGGCAGTGGGTTTTGAATGTTCTGTGTCAGATTTTAGCTGTGCAGAACTGGCCATCAGGCAGCAGTTCTGGTGGATATGCAATGCCTTATAGCCTCTGTGGTCACCCAGTGCACAGCCCAGAGCTGTGCCCTAACAAACATATCGTGGGATAGGCTGGAGGAGCAGTTGGGTGTGACTGCATTTGCAATACAAATCATAGTCTTCACTGAAATGGTTCTCCTCCCCTTGTTTCTTTTATCTCTTTTTAAACCAAACTCTAACTGTGTGACTTTTTTTTTTTTTTTAAATCTCGTTTGCTGTCAGAATTACTGTCTCATCCTAGAAAATTGAAAAGAAAATACAGTATTTTCCCCCCCTTATCTGACAGTCTGGTCTTTCCTTAAGCAGTTTCAGGTGTTGGAGGCCTGGTGTCTCCCAGACCTGAGGGCTCAGTATCGCTGGTAGCTCACTTGTGTGGACTCGTACATGTCTGAGCAGGTTCTCTTGGTTAAGGAAATATACTGGCAGGCTGTTAGGTTTCTCAGTTTCTGTGCATTAGAAGAAACAGCATCTGCAGAGTGACGTGACAGTTCTACCTGCTTGCTGCTGGGCCAGCTAGAACAAGCTTTTGCTGGGCTTTGAACAAAATGTGGTCCTATAGTGACTAAGACAAGACTAATTCCAATGTAAAACCCATTAAGACATGGGGTTTGCATTCCAAGAGTCTGGTGATGAAAACCATGGGGTGTTTTCTTTTTTTGGAATGTAGCAGAAATCCCTTTCTCTTACCTGGCTGAGTGGCTTTTAGTCCTTTCACTGCTGTATGGAAACTGAAGATGATGATGCAGAATGAAGGCCCCATGTGCCAGGTGCAAGATAAGAGCTAATCCCTGCTTTGGAAAAAAACATCTACATAAGTAAGGCGGATGCAGCCAAGTCCCATCCCACTTTCTGAATGCAGATCTAAGCACGCGAAGAGCTTAAATGATTCCCCTAGTGGCATGTCCAGACCCTCTATTCCCCTGAGATGCTCTAATACCCCGATCAACCCCTTTCCTATGTTAAAGGGATGGCTATAACCCAAAAGGATTGGCTGGGTCATGAAAACCAACTGTTCAGCCCAAGGGGAGATGTCATTGATAAAATATGAGGGTGTTGTTTTTGCAGTGGGGATCGTGCCTGGGCCGTTAATCACGCCATGTTAGACACGGTGCCTCAGCAGGAACAGTCTCAGCCTTGATCTTGGCCAAGAAATGGGGAAGCCAAGAGCCAGGCTGTCCTCTGCCAGGCTGTCCTCCCATGCTTTGCCATGGGGAGCAGAAGGCACCCAACCTGTGAGCAGCCTGGACTCAGCCCTGGGTTATATTACCTGCAAATGCTCTGGTTTGCATCAGTTCTCATTTACTGCACCACCTCTGCAGAACTCCATCTGCGTGACAATTTGATGGCTTACTGCTTATTAAAGTGTCTCTACTAATTCAAAAAGGATAAATATTTTCCTTCCACCTCTCCTCTGCAGCAGGGTGCCTGGTCTGATCCTTCCTCTGCTATCTCTGGGGTTGCCAAAAGGCTGCTTCTCCCCCAGCCCACAGGGAGGGGAGTCAGACCTGTGTTTATGGAGGCAGCGCGCTGCTCTGGCTGGCGCAGCAATTTGTTGCGTTCAGAAACTATTTTAATAACCACGAATGACTAAGCACGTTGTTTGGGATTGGTGACTCCTTTTTCCGCTCTTTCTTTGATCTATTTATTTTTAGGCTCCATTGGGAGGGGAAAAGGAGTAGAGACTGAAAGCCAGAAGACAGGAGAGAGAAACCCAGGGAAAGTGGGACGATGGGATCCACCTTTCCAAGCTGCTGCCCACCTCAGTGCTTGTGAGGCTTGGCAATTGATTGACTACTTTCCAGGGTAGAACAGGAGTGAGCACTGAGGTGCCTGTGGTCTTTCTCTGTTGAGAGAAGGAGGGTTGAGTCCTGCTGATGGCCTTCCAGGAGGCTGGAGCAGGATTTGAGGTGGAAGTCTCAGTTCTGACAGTATGTCTTACAGTACTCCATTGTGCTGTAGCATATGCATCTCCAGCATGGGTACGAAATTGTTCTGGGGTAGGAGATACCTTCCTGTTGTGTAGTCCTCAAAGTAGAGGGTGCTCTCTCTCACATGCACATGACTTTTAAAAACCCACATAAAATTGGAGTATACAAATAATGCATAATTTTTTATTGTTTTTATTACTCTTACCATAGAACTGGGATTAGGTTGAGAGGGACCTCAAAGCACAATTTAAGTTCCACCCCCCCTCCCTCTGGGAACAGGATTGCCACTCACTGGATCAGGTTACCTGGGGCCTCTTCCAACCCAGTCTTTAAACCCCTCTTCATGTCAGCATGTGCCCTCCCCTGTTGGGGCTATGCTTCCAGCACCACCCTGCTGCCTCCTCCACATCCTCTCCAATTTCCTTCTTGCTACTCATCCTCTCTCCTTTGCTGACGTTCGGAAGAGAGCAGTACACAACTTCTGCAAGATAAACAAACAACAGGCTCATCCTGGGCTGATGTAAACCTGTTGTTTGCGAGTGGAGGAGCCAATGACATGCGAGAACATGAGATACAGGTGGGGCTGTGCCCCATCCAGGCTGGTACCTGTCCCCAGCACCATGAGATGCCTCAGAGGAAAGCCATGAAGGGAATTTGGGATTCAGGAAGCCTTTTGTCTCATCCCTCTGGTAGACACTGGTAGTTACCCATGCCGATGCTGTTGTGTCTCTTAGCCACCTGGTTTGATCTTTGATGTTCCCTGCAGGCTTGGTTGCACCAAATAAACCTGTTGGCCCCTTGTATTTCCCCTTCATTTTTTGCCTTATTTCCCATTGACTATTAAAGACATTGTTCTTCTATGGGACCGTGTGGTTCCCTGATGATCATTTTTCGCTGTGCAGAAGATTTGAGTTTTCACTCTGGGGCTCTGAATGTTTAGCCAATGCCCAGGACCTTGTAATTTGAGAATTAATGGCACAATCAGAAATTTCGTGCTACCCTGCTTGTTTACAGGGCCTACATCCAGGATCAAAGCCAGGACTGCCTGTTGTGTTGGCTTTCTAGTTGGTTCCAATACACACAGTAGCACTGTGGAATTTAGGACCTCCCCAGCCCACCAAGCCACGGGGCAGTGGCATATCCTAGGGTGGGCAGCAACCTGCCTGCAAAAGGTTGCATTGCTGCTCCTGGAGGAGGAATGCTCTGCAAGGTTGCAGGCTGCAAAAAGCTGCTCGAGTCAGTCGTTGTTCCTTAACTCAGCATGTTGTGGGCAGGCGTAAAGCACTTAGTGAGGATTTCCCTTCCCCTGCAGGTAATGCCTGCATAAGCTTTTATTTTACCCAACTCTTCACAAGCCTTAGTGGCTCATCTGCAGGATTTCTCTGAGCTTTCTCTGCTGCCCTTCTGCAGCTGCCATCACAAAGCCACCTGCGCCGGGCTGGCCTGCAGGGTGACATGGTATGTCCTCCTGAGTGACCTGCCTGTCCCTGCCGCTCTCTGCCACCGCAGCACTCAGATTTGGGTTCCCACACAGCCCTTGTGGCACTTGGAGGCCCTTTTTGTAATCCTGTGCTAGTGACCACGGCCAGGTCCTCCTGGCCTCATCTGTCCTTTGTGGCATCCCTACTGCCCACTCTAGAGCAGCCACACACCTTGTACCCATACCATGAGCTCTGCTACTATCACTATCACTTTTCCATCCACCCAAGGGCACAAATGGCACCCCATGATTTCCACCTCACCCCATGATTTCCTGCCACATCCGTGGGAATAAAGTACCATGGTCCCTGTGGGTGATGCTGGGGCTGGGGGAACCAGCTGACTGCTCCTGCCGGGCTGCTCCTCATTCCAGGAGGCACGAGAAGAGCAGTGGGGCCGAGCCCTCCCTCAAGAAGCACACTCGGGGTGCTGCCCACCTCCGAAGTATGCCCCCCCCACCGACGCTGCCCCCCCCCAATCCCCAGCTCCAGCGGCGAGGAAGAGGCAGTGCTGAGCCGGATATGCTGCGGCTCCCGCAGCCCTCCCTGTAGTGTCCCCGCCGCTCCTCCCGATGCCTTCCGAGGAGACGGATGGACGGACGGACGGGCAGCGAGAGGTGCACCGCTTTCCTAATGGCACGGCTACGGAGGGGGGCGAGGGAGGGGGAGGCAGCCTCTTCCCACCCCCTTCCATATCCCCTGTCCTCATCCCCTTCCTCCTCCTCCTCCTCTTCCTCCTCCTCTCCGGCCACGATATTCACCAAAAGGGAAGGGGGAGCTGCTGGCAGGTGGAAGGGATGGGGGAATGCAGCCCCGGCAGGAATCCCGCAGAGGGGAGGGCTCGGCGAAATAATAACAATAATAACGATAATGACAGCAATGATAACAAAACCACGCCGGGAGCGAAAGGGGGGGAGCGGAGAGGACGCGGCGCTGTGCCGCACTGAGCCGCCTCCCGCACTGCTCGGCACAGCCCGATCGCGGCCCCCGCGCTCCCCATCCCGGGATGGGACGGACGGAACAAGGCCCGGACAGACCGACAGCCAGAGGGACAGCCGGAGGGACGGACGGACGGAGGACTGCGGGCGGGGGCAGCGCGGTGGTCTGGCAACTCTCCCCGCAGCGCTCCCCCTCCACCCCGCCCCGCTCTTCCCAAGTGCTTTTTGCGCTTTGATGTGTTGCTTTCTCCTCGCGTCGCCCCGTGATCCCCCCCCTCGCCCCGCTATCCCCACCCGAGATGCGGCCCCGTGTCCCCCTGCGCTGCCCTCCCCTTCCTCCGATCCCCCCCCTCCTTCCCTCCGCTGCCCTCTCCTCCGCTCCTCTCCCCGCTCTCTCCTCCGCCTCCCGCTCCCTCAGTCTCTCTCCTGCCTCCCCCCCACCTCTCCCCTTTCTTTTTCCCCCCTTTTCTTATCTCCCCCCCCTCCATCCCCATTTCTCACTTCGCCAGGGCAGAGCGCGGTGACGCCGCCGCTGCCGCCACCACGGAGAGGACGCAGGACCCTCCCTTGGGCCCCCCGTGCCCTTTCGACGGGGCGGCCTGGGCCCCCCGACCCCCGCCGGGCCCCCAGCAGGGCTGCTTCGCATGCATCGCCAAGCCCCCGGCCCTCCGGCACTCCTCGCCCGTCCTCTCGCCCTCCTCTGCCGCTCAGCTGATGGAGAGCAAGGGCTGCAAAGGGGACAGCCTGCGGCCGGCGGGCCCGTGCAAGCACTCGGTGGAGAAGAAGACCATGACCAACCCCACCACCGTCATCGAGATCTACCCCGACACCAGCGAAGTGAATGACTACTATCTCTGGTCCATCTTCAACTTCGTATACCTCAACTTCTGCTGCCTCGGCTTCATCGCTTTGGCCTATTCTCTGAAAGTGAGTGCTGAGCGCCAGGGGGAGCGCGATGGGGCTGGGGGTAACACATCCGTGCCATCGAAGCAGGAGGTTGCATCGCCGGCTGTGGGGATGGGGATGGAGACAGGGAGGTGGTGACGTGGTTTGAAGCTGAAGGTGTTGTTTGGTGGAGAAAGGGCAATTGGACCAAATGCGCCTTCCCAATGGCACATACCACATGGGCATCCTGCACTCTGGCACTCGATCACTTCTTTGGGGCAGGCAGGGACCTGGTAGGATGAGATGCAGCAGCACTGCACTGTGGGGCAGGAGCCGTAGGTGCTGTCAGGAAGCACTGTTGGTCAAGTCGTAGTAGGAGAGGTTGCCAGCACAGGGTAATGCTGCCTCTTTGCTTCTTGTCTTATCTCCTACTAAAATCCCCAAAAGATGAAAGCTGTGAGGGGAGCAGCCTGGCTGGGATGTGAGATTCAGCACCAGAGCACCCAGGAGCATCTCAGGAGCTGCCACAGGAAAGGGCCCTGGGCTGCCCTTCCCTTCCTAGAGATGATCCAAACACACCCACAGAGAGCCCACGGCTGTGGGGCAGCCCTGTGTGGGTCATGCTCTGGGGACAGGCAGCCGGCTGACGTGCATTGGCAGCAGCATTTAGCGGGAGGCCAGCATGCAGCCCAGCTTCGTCATAGAAACAGATCAATGAACACCAGGCAGCACTGGGCAGGGAGTGCTGGGCAGCCCTGGGCTCAGCCTGCACCAGTCCCCCGCCTCAGTTTCTCTTCTCTGAGGTTGGGGTTGTCCCTGTGCAGGAAGAATAGAGAGTTAAGGTTTTTCATCTTCAGTGCACCACATAGCTACACCAGGTCTCCTTGTGGTCCCTGTGCTGCAGGCAGCAGTGGGGTCGGGACCTGCCTGAGCCATCCTGTGAACCAGGGGGTAGGAGAGATTCCCTGGAGGTCTGTGATAGCCGTGGCTCCTTGTCTGAGGGGAAAACACAGCCCTTGGAAACAAATTAGCATGGGGCAGATAGGCTGGTGGGTGCTGCCCAAGACTGGGCTGGGTGCTGAGACAGAAAGAGGGACAGAACAGGGTCACTATAACAATGGCAGCATTAGGTCTAGGCTGAGAGGAGCATTGGGACACTTTGTGCCCTGAGCCCACAGGTGTCTCTGCAGGCACCCCAGCATATGGTAGCACTTCCAGCAGCTTCAGCATGCTCTGACAGTGGGTGCACAACTCAGTACTGAGCTGGTGTGGGGCCTCTGCGTGCCTTTGCTGCTACCTGGGACCTGCCTGTGGTCCTTGAAAAAGATGCCAAAGCAGCTCACCAAGGTATTTAAGCTCTTACACAAAGAGATGTATGAAGTCGGGTAGAACAAATGCAATGCTATCCCAGCCAGGCTCTCCATGTGACCCATAAGGAGCTCTGGGTGATACCATGCTGCACACCTCTCTGTTTCCCCTATAGTGGGACAGGTGCTTGGCAGCCGTGGCTCTCAGATTATATCCCTCAGGGCTGTTTCTGCACCTCAAGGTCAGTGCGGTGGAGAAGGAGTGTTGTGCCAACTCAGAGCTGTGTGCACTGGACTGGGGCAGAGGAGATGAATGGCAGCACCAAGGGAGATGAAGCCCTTTGGTCAGCTCCCTGCAGGCTTAGGGCCACTCCAGCACTCTGGGTTCCTTCCCTTTGATCAGAAGGCACTGCTGCAGCTCTCCTGCATTGTGGCTGCCCCTCTTCCTAACTCCCAGCAGCATTGGAGCACGGTGTCAGGAGCTCCTGCTCTGGAGCTCTATCTCTAGAGAGCACCAGGGGAAACCAACAGCTCTCTGGGCACCAATTAGGCAACGAGGCAGGAGCTGGGATAAGCTCCACTGCAGGAGCTGTGCTTGGACTGCACTGACATCAAGGCAGCAAGGCTCTCCAGTGGCATTTGGAACCCATCCGGCAACCCGCGTGGCTGCTCTTAGAGCTTTGCTGCCAGCAAGGCGTGAGGCACACGGTGATACGATGGCTGGATTTGCTCCCAGCTGATCTGCGGAGCAAATAAACCACAGGATTCGCTCCAGAGCAAAAAGCTCCTTACGAGCAGGGAAGCAGAGCGCTGTGCGGGAAATGGGTTTACAGCCAAACCAGCCTCTTCCCAAAGCGTGCCTCCACCAGCTGCAGGCTGAATACCGAGAGCAGGCTGCCTTCAGCATGGCCTCATTAGAGTCGTTATCAGCAAACCATTTGTCTCCTTGGGAAAGCTGACACAGCACTGGTACCCACCCGCAAGCGTCTGCTCCTGAGTGAGAGCTGTGCCTGAAAGCTGAGATGGGAAGTGGGAAAGGAATGGGAAGGGTGAGGATGGAACGAGGAGACAGCATGTAGCATTGGTGGAAGAGGAATGGAGGGAGGTGAATGTGTGATGGGGCTGAAGGAGGGGAAGGGAGTTGCCTTGAATGGGGTGGATCTCCAGCACAGCCCTCGAAGTGCTTTGGGGAAACTCCCCAGTCAGCAGATGTGGGATAACCACCCTCACCTTTCAGCTATCTCCATGGGAAGAAAGGCCAGGATCCCAGGATAACTTCAGGCAAGGTGGGGAGGATCAAAGTGAAGATGATAAGAAAAGTGTCTGGGACTGAGACAGCACCTGATCCGGGGTCAGGGTGTTTATATGGACCTGGGGACCTGTCCTCACTTTGGGAAGGAAGGAGACAGCTTCCAGGCTCAGACCGCAAGCAGACTGGAGCAGGAAACACCTTTTCATTATGCTTGTGTGCCGCAGGGACTCTGTCATTCACCTGGAACTCACAGGCAACGTAAATGATAGTGGCCAATATGGGATATTTGCATAAGGATGACAGCTGAAGTCATAAGGTGTGTGGGAAAATAATAAGGGAGGAGAGGAAAGGACTACGCCGAAGGGCTTGGTGAGAATGAGAGATGCATGCAACCAAGGAGGCTGGGGGCAAAGCTAAGGGCAAGAGAAAAGATGTGGGCTGCAGGTGATAGAGAACATGGGGAGAGCACCACTTCCTGTAGGGTCTGCAGGAGCAGGTGGATGGGAAAAGAAGAAACCAGGGGCCCACCAGGAGGGGGAAGGAGCCTAAAGCAAGGTTAAATCAGGGGCATTGCCATGAAGGGAAGGGAAAGGGAGATGGAGGGGCCAGGGAGAAGGTAAGATGCTGAGAGATGGTGTGTAGCATGGGAAAGAATGAAAGGTGGGAGCACTAGGAGCAAGCTAGGAGAGAGTTCCAGGGAAGGGAGGAGCAGAAGGTGAGGAGGCGGGGAGATCTCAGGGCAGGAATACCAGGTCCCACAAGGGCACAGCAAGCAGAAGAGTGCAGAGCCCAGAGCACCAGCCCCACTGGTCTGCATGGGTCAGGATCCTCACCATGAAGTCACCATTCCTGGAGGTGTTCAAGAGCTGTGTGGATGTAGCACTGAGGGATGTGGCTCAGTGGGCATGGTGGGGATGGGCTGAGGGTTGGACTTGGTGGTCTTTTCCAACCTGAATGATTCTGTGACTGTATGAAGAGGAGGATGCCTTGGGGCTGCCCTTCACTTCAAGGTGCCCACTCCAGCAAACTGGAGCTTCGCATCTCTCCAGGCTTTTGGGAGGATGCAAAACCCACAGAACAATTCCTGAGGTGACCCATCCTGGGCACAGAGCTGCCACAAAGGGCAGCAGGATTGCCACCTTCCCTGAGGTCACATCCCATCCAGGCAGGCTACTAAGTCAAGCATAGTGTGTGATGGCCACAGCATGGTATTGAACTGGGACTCCCCTGGCATCCACTCAGTGCCAAGACATAGAGAAAAGGCTTCTGCCAATGCCTGACTGCTGTACAGGTCCTTGTGCACTCGGCTGGCCCCGCTGCTGCTGGCTGTGCTCAGAGCCCTGCAGGAAGGGCAGCACATTGGTGTGAAGCTGCATGGCCCAGAAGGACAGAGGGGTCCAGCAGCCTGTCGCTGTGCTGGGCAAGTGGCATCAAGCTTTCAGGAGAGCACTGCAGGAGGAAGAGAGAAAAAAAAAGTGGCTGAGACGTGGGCTGAATGCGGCACAGGATGTTTGCAGAAAGCTCCTAGTCGATAAGAGGTTTTTTATGTTTCTAGGAGGACTCTGAGGCTGCTGCAGGATTTCACAGCCTGCCACCGACACCTAGCGTTCAGCCAGCAGCACCTTGCTCGTGATAGCAAGCACGGGGGGTGAGCGGGAGCGCAGCTCCAGAGCCCTCTGGCACTGAGCGAGCAGCACCGCACACGCTGCAACCATCCCGAGGGTGCTGCCAACACGATGTGGGAAATTGGGCAAAATTCTCTGGTGCCACGTTCTCTGTGCTCCGGGTGCTGAGTGCCATATGCGAGAGGTCTGGCGACGGGGATGTGGCCGTGCTGGAAAGGAATGGAGCGCATTCCAGGGGTGAGCATCGCCATCCCTGCCTTGTGATGCCACCTGTTGTCTGGCGATGCCATCCAGGGCTTGGCGAGGCCGTCTATCATCTAGCGATGCCATCCGCTGCCTGGCAGTGCCACCTGCTGCCTGCTCATGTCATCGCTACTCCTGGCAGCCTGGAGGAGGTGGGGACGAGCAGGTGACATGGACGCAGCAAATCCATGGTTGTCCTAGCCTGTAGGATAACAAGGACAGCACCCGTGCTGTAAGGTTCATAGAATGGTTTGAGTTGGAAGGGACCCTTAAAAGCCATCTGGTCCAACTCCCCTGCAGTGAACGGGGAAACCTACAACTCAGTCAGGAGCTCAGAGCCCTGTCCAGCCTGACCTTGAATGATTCTAAGGATGGGGCATTGCACCTCTTGGGCAACCTATTCCAAGCTGGGAAGTGCCCTATGGTACCTTGCTCCAGCTGGTGCAAACCCCAGAGCTGCCAGGATGTCATGGCATGACGGGAGAGTCCATCAGCACCCAGATCTCTCCGGGGATGCATTATTACTTTTATTACATCATTTTATTACATAGTATCGCAGCACATCTCCCAGTTAATTTTGTTTTTCTGCCTCAGGTCCGGGATAAGAAACTCCTCAATGACTTAAATGGTGCAGTGGAAGATGCCAAGACAGCCCGGCTTTTTAACATCACCAGCTCAGCCCTTGCCACCTTCTGTATCATCCTCATCTTCATCTTCCTGCGGTACCCCCTCACTGATTACTAGCAGGAGGCCAACAGCAGCGCTGCCGCCAAGATGCCTCTATGCCAGAAGTGTCTGCAGTTGTTTCCTGTAGCAAGGACACGAGAGTAAAACAACCCCATCGTGATGGCAAAAAAAAGTGAAAAATAAAAAATAAAAATAAAAAAAAAGAATAATAAGAATAATTTAAAAAAAAAATCAAAAAAGTAAATACAAAAATAAAAAATAAATGAGTTTATCAGCCCGGGCAAGCGTACTCTTCCTGCTCGTAAACAGTATGTGGACTGCTGTAGGAAAGGGTTTCACTTTTGCAATTGTGTAGGAAGGAAAAGACACCAAGAAGATCTTACTTCATGGCAAACGGAGCTGTGTAATGTGAGTGTGCAAAGCTGAGAGCTAAATGTGTGGCCAGATGCATGGCCATAGAGGCCTTTGGGCTACAAGACAGGGCTGGGAGGAAGGCGGCATGCCCAAGGTCAATGGAATGGCCAAGGCTCAGAGCATATCAGATGCTTTCAAACTGCCCACTGCCCCACAGCGTTCTGTTGTTTTCCTTCCGTGATGCAGTTCTACTGAATTTAATTCATGTGTTGAGATAACCATCCCGGAGGGCTGAGTGTTAGGCTGTTGGTGTCAGAGAGCCCCAATGCCTCCAGGTCAACCCCAGCGCATTAAGGGGCAAATTTCTCCTTGGGATCACCCAGCAGTGTTGAGGACAAAGGCATCTCCGGAGAACTCCATGTGCTCTGTGAACCAAGTGCTACTGTATTTCTGTAACACGGTTAATAAAGATACCTCTGATATCTGCTGCTGCTGGGTCAATTATCGTAGCATCATCGAATCATTAAAGGATGGAAAAGACCTCTAAGATCACCAAGGTCCACTCACAACCCATCCCCACCATGCCCACTGGCCATGTCCCTCAGTGCCACATCTCCACTGTTCTTGAACACCCCTGTTGCTCTGGTTGGTCTCCCCTCTTTTTGCACAAAGACAGAAAGGATGGACGACGCTGCATGCTAGGGAAGGGACAGGATGAATCATCCACATTCGATGTGCCGCTTAAAAAAACACATCGTATTTCTTGAGTTTTTAAGATGAGAGAGCTGAGGGGAAGCTACATATCCCTGAGCCTTTGGGATATGCCAGTCTCCGGGGATGGCTGAAGAGATAGGGCAAAGAAGCAGAGAATCGCAGCTCACTGGCAAGAGACAATGCCTGCGTCCCCAGCGGCTGCTTAAGGGAGTGTCAGGCAGGGATGAGGGATGCAGGAGGACGTGTGCCAGGTTGGAGAGCCAGGACTGCTCTGACCCCTGCAATGCTCAATCGGCGTCGGGCAGAGCCAAGGCAGCCGGGAGGCAGGCTCCCCCCACCTGTGGTACAAGAATGAAGAGCTGTAGACTGAACCTTTGGCTCTCCAGGCTGCACGAAACGTCAGCTCTGTGCCATCAGCCCCAGGTCATAGCATGAACAAATGGTCAGACCTGGGATAAAATACAGCTCCCTGACCTCTTTTCTAATTGCATATGCTGCAGCTGTCTCATCTTCAGGTGTAAAATGAGCTCCTCAGCACATGGCAATGCCTGCTCTGTTTCTCTTCCCTTCACTGAGACTTTTCCAGCCTTGTCGCACCAGGAGGAGGCATACACTCCAGAGGAGGAATGTGGGACGAGGTGATGAAGAATGTCAGCAGCAGGACAGTGCCCTCAGGGACACCAGTGCTGCCCGGAGCTCCCCTGCACTTCATCTATGGGCAAAGTGATGGGCCTTTGTCTTGACCTCTTAAAGTCCAACAAGGAGAAGGGCAGAGTCCTTGAGCTTTGCCCTGGTGATCACCTCACAGGTGGCTTTCTGTGTGGAGAGCCCCAGCTTGGCATGCAGGAGCAAGGTTGCTCAGATAAAGGCAGAGCTGAAACAAAGCTGACTGCAACCCAGAGCCATCCCTCCTGCCTCTAACAAGTGTGACAAATGAGTGCCACCTTCTCTTCCTCCATGGGCTGCCCCAGTCAAGGCAGGGCGGTTGCTGCTGTAATGAACCAGGGGAATATTGCACTGACGCTGCAGCATTTTTCATGCATCACCTGCCAGGCTGGGCTATTATTAGCACCACTGTGCTTATTATTTGCTGCCAAGAACACCCACGTTTGGTGAGGCATCTCCTTGTAAACGCTGCAGCAGGGCCGAGGTGCACCAAAACCTGCAGAGGGATTGATCACCCCTTCTTTGTTTCAGCTCAGAGGGAACACGGGAATGAAAAGCAGCAGCCAAATATCACTGTGATTTCTTTTTTCAGTGGTGTGGGAACATTCTGGAGAGGGAGAGCTTGCCAAGGCTGCCATCAGCACGGCAGAAGGAAAGATTTGGTGCTGCTGCTCTGCCTTTTCACTTCTGCCACTCGCAGCTCTGCTGGGCTCACTCCAGCTCACACCTTTTCTTGGCTGTGAAGATGCAGCCTCTGTTGCATTCAGCAGCAAAAGCAACAACTGAAGAGAGGGGTGGGAGAGAGGAACCGTCAGATGCCTGAGAAGCCTTTTGAATTCAGGAAGGAAGGATGGTTACATCGTCACGTGATGATTTCACTGCACTCCCCAGCAGCACATCAGGAGACCAAGAGGTGGCTCTGGGCAGTCTCCTGAAGTCTCTCTATGGGACCTCACAGGGAGAAGGGTGCCCTCGTGTGTAAGCATATGCCACACACTTACGCAAGCCCGAGGCTCAGCGCTGCCACCTCCGCATAGAGGCTGCCAAGCCAGTTTGCAGGCAAATCCCAGCTGGGTTGAACTGGTTTGGATTTCCTCCCAGCAGCAACCGTGACCCCGTGGCTCTTCTACGTCAATGAGTTGACTGCAAGAAATAGGGCAGAAGGGAGAGCAGAGCTGGCACCCAGTTTGGGTAATGACGTTCAGCCCGGCTCCAGCATTCTCAGCTTCCCACAGGGTGAGCGAGCAGCCCCTATTTTGCCCGAGTCATTGCTGGAGCCCCGACACCCAAAATCCCTGTGTGTTCCCTCCAGTGCTGCTCCACTGGGCTTTATGAGCTGGAGCTGCCCCTTTGCTCAGTGCCATCAGGTCTCTGTTCAGGGTTAGGGTGCAGCTGGAGTCCTGCAGATGCAGGGGAGCAGCGGGGTGCTGGTGGGTCTTCCTGCTGCTCCAGGCAGGATGGATGCTGCACAGTGGGCCCCACAGTGCCCAGCTCACCATGCAGGAAGGGTGGGAGGCACAGATGGCAGCAGATGCTCTCATCACTGAAACCGATTTCTGCAGCATAGAAAACAAAACAAGAAAACCCTAGCAACTGATGAGCAGCTGAACAAAACTCTGCACGGGGTAGGAAGAAAGAGTCCAGTGCTGAGAGCCCTCAGCCCCGTGCAGAGCTGTCCTCACAGAGCCTCCAGCATCCTGCAGCATGATCGCTCCGTGCCCAGTACAAAGGTCCTGCTCCTCCCATCCCCTGACTTTGACTCATGCTCCGTGCAGAGGGATTTTATTCAGCATGCGTTTTGCTGCTTTTTCCCCTTTATTCCTCAGGCAGAGCTGCAGAGCTATGGCTGCAGCACACAGCCGATAAATGGCACTGTGCAAATCTCCAGCCTCACACTCCCCACAGCGCTGTCTGCCTCCAGCAGCAGAGCACAGGTTGATGCTGAAAGCAGTTCTTTGGGTGTTTAGAACAACAGTGGGTCGGGGGAAAAGCCTCTTGTTGGACTCATTGCTGTGGCAGAAATCTGCTTAGTTTGAGTTTTGTGCTTGGCTTGAGATGGCAATTACGGGTCTTGGAAAACGTTTGAGCAAAAATTACGATGTGTGCAAGCGTACTTTGCATTCAAAACACATTGCTAGGATGCAACCAATCTTCAGGTGTGCTGGAATATGAGAAAAAGACGGGGAAAAAAGAAAAAAAAAACAACCATCCAAACCAGAATGAGGCAAATGGGGCAAATTGTCCCTCAAGAGATTTTTATCCAAAGCAGAGCCCCTCCCGCCAGCAAGGAGCAAGCGGCCACAGCATCGCTGCTCGGCACACAGTGGGGGGGATCCGGTCCCGGCAATGACAACGGCCGCACATCTGGTGCCCGGCAGCGCGGCGCTGCTTTGTTCTGCCACCGCGGCACCATCCCGGCCTTCCCCCATCGCCTCCCCCGCTAACATTGGGTGCTGCCGGGCCCCTGGGGCCGTACGGGACACCGAGCCTTTCTGTCCACCTCCCCTCCTCTCCTCCCATTTGCCGCCTTGGAGATGCTTTGCGGGTCGGATCTGACCCCGGGCCGGGACGGCGGTGTGCCAGAACCGGGTTTGGAGAGAAGCTGCAGAAACGCCTTCCCTTCTAGCACGGCGGAGCGACCCCGGTGTGCAGGGGTTTCCGCACCCATCCGCTTCGCACTGATTCTTGCAGCAGGAGAACCGAGGCTCAGGGCTAACAAACCAGCCTCTGTGATCCCGCGCACCCGGAGAGAAGAGAGCTAATTCCGAACACTCGGCATCCGCACGGGAGGCGGAGAGGTCGACTCCCTCGATTTCATAAGCGCCAACAAAAGCCTAAAGCTCCTAAGCCCTAATCGGCCGCTAAAGCCGGAGCCGCCGCAAGGACAGAACCGCGCAGCGGGGCGCGCCAGGTGGGCCAGGTGGGTCACGTGACTCGCCGAGCCCCGCGGGCAGCAGCGCCCTCTGCCAGAGCCGCGGCTCCGCGCCGCTCCGCGCCCGCGGGGTGACGTCACCCTGCTCTGCGCCTCCCGCGCTGATTGGCTGCGGGTGACGTCAACGCTGTCTTTTTTTTTTTTTTTTTTTTTTTTTTTTTTTTTTTTTAAATCCCTCTCCCCCCCCCCCCCCCTCCTTCTTCTCCTTCCCCCCCCTTCCTCTTCCCCCCCCCCCCCCCCCCCCCGAGGTATGACCTCATCGCCGGCGCATTCCCGGCTCGCGGAGCAGCGCGGAGCAGCGCGGAGCTCGGCCGCTGCGCGGCATGCGGGCCCTGCGGAGAGGCGCGGCCGTCCGCGCCCGCCGCACCGGGTCAGTGTGAGCCGAGCCGGAACGGGCCGGGAGGGGATTGCCTTGCAGGGAGAGGGGCGCGGTGCGGCCGCGTGTGCGGAATGGAGCCGCGGAAGGGCTGGGGGAGGCTCTGTCCTGTTGGAAATACCCGCACCTTGCTTTATTATCCGTAGGGCTTTGGGGTTTAAAGTGCGGGTGGGATCGTTTCGAAGCAAGCGTTAATAAAAAACACTTGCGGGAGGGAGGGTGGGCGCAGGTGGGAGCGGAGCATCCCCGGCCGCGGTGCGGGGCGGTACCTCGGGGTTGCGCGGTGCGGGGCCAAGGGGGGTACGGGAGCCGTGGTGACAGCGCTGTGGTTTTCCGATGCAATCGTTGCGCACCCGGCTGCGAGAGGAGCAGCGCTGGGCTGCGCGGTCCGTACGGCGCTGCGCTGCCGCGGGCTCCGGAGGCGCTGCGGGCGGTGAGCGCGTTGTGCGCCCCGCTCAGTTTGTCCCCTCCGTCCTCCCCTGTACGCGCCGACCGGCCGTCGTCTCCCCCGTTCTCGGACGAGCCTCTGCGTGCGGAACGCCGGTCGGTTTCCCCGAGCTCGGCGATCATTTCCCTTATTGATAAATAAGTTCCTTCTCCTTCCTGCTCTGCCCCCCCACCCCGCACACGCACACCCCTTTCTCCTCCCCCAAAATTAAATTCCTGAGCAACAGCAAAAGCTGATGTCAGTGCCTCTGCTCACATCGGGAAGCTCCGCGCAGGTCGGTGAGGTGCGGGTTGTTACGGGGAGGACGCGCCGCGGTGCGGGTTCCTTGCGGACGTTTGGGTTTTCTAGGCACCTTATTGCGGTGCCACCCGTGGTTCCTAGGCGGGGAGCCCAGCCCTGCCCCGGGCACGAGTGACCAGCCGTGATTTGGAGCATAAAGGCACGGACTCCTTCTAGCAGCCATTGGCAACCTCAGGGAGATGCTGAGCGCTTTGCCCGCAGCCCGGGGCGGCGGTAACCTTGTGGGCAGCTCCAGGAGACCTGCGCTATGCTCACCGCATTGTCTGCACCCGAGCTGTGCTGCGCAGGACTCGGGCACGGTTGCAGCTTTGTGTTGGAAGGTCCGGGTGTGCGATGCTCGTGGGTTTGGGCTCGGCGGCGCTGCGCAGGGCTCTGCAGAAGAGGTTGGTTGGGTTCGGGGCCGCTTCCCGGATTGCCTTTGTGTTTGCTTGTGATGATTCCCAAAGCAAAATGAGCTCTGTGCCAAGAAAACTCTCATACCTATAGCTGGCTGCATTTAGGGCTTCTTGCTAAGATACCTCCAAGGTCTCTGCGGATGTATTCTTGCCAGTTCTGATGCGTGCAGCCGTGCTTTGCCCCAACAGGCTTTGAACCCCCATGGGTTGTTGCCCTTTCCTTAATGCAGATAAGTGGCTGGGGGGACCTGGTACTAGCATTGCAAGGTGGCCGAGCCCTGTAGGAGTGCTGACTGCATGGAGATATGGCAGACACCATGTTTGTGTGCTGGGTGGTTTTGCTGAGGCTGGGCACCTTGCCAAGGAAGCCACCGAGGTGCTGTGTTTGGAGAGCTTGCTGCCTAAAATCCAAGACAGTACAATTATTATTGTCAGAACCCCCCCAGAGCACTGGGTACAGCTCCTCAGAGCATGCATCCTGCAGTGGTTTGGCCCTGCAAACACCTCCCAAAGAACCATCCTGAAGGAGGCTGCGGCTCAGTGGGGTTCTGAAAATGGCTTCTTGCAGCACCTACTTTATCCCTACCCCTTTCCCTGCTCTGGCTGCATTAATCTACATAATCAAAATGAGATATGTTAAAGGTGCCTTCCCCTTCTGTGTGGCTCTGCTGCCCTTAGGTGCGCCTGCTCATGGGATCAGAGGTTGGTCCTTGCTATGCAGTGTGATTGGAGCTGCGATCTGCAGCCTTGGCTGCACTCAGGTGCAGAGCGCATTCACGGTATCTGGGATGGGAGCAGGAAAAGGAGGTGTTCCATATTTGGCAGCCTTGATTTATGATCTGAGTTTGTAGGACACTGCCGTCATCCTGAAACAACCCAGCAAAGCAAATCTGCTGGGGAGCGTGGTGATAAAGAAAGCAGCGTGCAGGTGCTGGCTCCTGGGAGGACAGCAGGAAAGCTGAGCTGGGACATGTAGGTGGTTCTGCCCTCCGCTCTGCGTTCTGTGGCAGAGTTTAGGAGAACTGTCCGCAGAACCCTCAGAGCTGAGGGGTTCCTGCTCTCACCCCACTCTTCTCCACACTGCTCTGCAGAGGTGCTCCGCAGCCCTGTGATGCCGTCATCCCACGGGGAACACTTGAGAGTGCTCCTCTGCATCTCGATGCCCTCTGGGTTTTAAAACCTGTTTTTCAAGCTTTCAATTTCTCCTCTGCAGGTACACCTGTCCTGCCTAGCGCAGGGTGGGAAAGGAGGCACCTGATGAGATTACATACAGGTGTGGGGAAGGGAGGCGAGTGGCCTGGGATCACTCATCAGATAAGGAGCTAAATGAGTGCTTGCAATTTTCTCAAGCTTGCTTGCAGAAACCTGCGCATGCGTCACAAGCAAGGTTAGAGCACAGCGAGGGAGTGGAAAGGCTGCAAAAATGGTGTCACAGGCTGTCCTTAAAGTCAGGCAGAGCTCATGGTGTGATGGTAGCATGTGTGTTGTGCCTGGCTGTGAGCTGCTGGCTTTGCCTTCCCTTCTGATGGCGGTGGGACGGAATGTAGCATGCGGCTGTGTCACGTCCCTTGGGAATGATGCTCAGTGCCCTGCTGAGGGAGATGTGGCACTTAGGGATGTGGCTCAGTGGGCATGGTGGTGATGGCTCAGTGGCTGGATTTGATGATCTCAGATTTTTTTTTTTTAATAACCTTAATGATTTTATGGTTCTATGAATTGAGCTCTGGTCACACGTGAGCACCTCGGTGACTCCATCTCCTCTTTATCAATGAAGTCATGGAAAAGCAAACGAGCTCTTATCTCTTCCAAGAACCGATCGTAGGCTTCCTACCCCAACCCTTGGGTCAGTGCCATCAGTGAGGCTCCTTTTGTTCTCAAGCCTTTCTGTTTTGAGCAGAAAGAGGAGAAGCCCCTATTGTAGGGTAAAGCAGAGCTTTACTGGGGCCCTGCTCCATAGGAGTGCTATTTGATTCATCCTCTGAGAGCCTTTGAGACCCTACTAGACCAGGGAGCCTGGACAGGTGTGCAGCAGGTGGTCCTTTGCTTTGCGTACAGCTTCTGTGTGTTATAGTGCTGCTCAGGACGTCTAGTTTTCAAAAGTGAAGTGTGGTGTCTGATGCTCCTGAAAGTAGGTGCAATTGGGATTGGAGGAGATTCCAGTCTGCACTGTACAAAGGTGAAATAAGCAATGCGCTTTGATCTGGGGTTAGAGACCTTTCCTTGATTCCATCTTTTCTTCCCATTCTTCTTATGCCTATTTCCTTGTTTGTTGTGCATGGAAAGTCCAACCCGAAGTGTGTGCATGACTTGTCTGCCTTTGTTGTACCTTATTTATTTTCAGTCAAACCTTCAGGTTTCTTGGGGCAGAGACCTTGTGTTCAGGCTTTTCTTTCGAGGGTCTTGGGATGCACTCTTGCAGTTGACAGAGGGGTGAATTCTGGGAAGCCCCATTTCTGAGCCTGCTGACAACTGGGAATGGGTCTTTTGGTGACCAGGACAAGGCAACCTGATCTGTTGTTGGAGCTGGCCCTGTGTTGGGGGAGTGGTTGGCCAGGTGAGTTGTTGAGGTCCCTTCCTTCCAACCCATATTAATTACACTGTGACTCTTCCATACCTGCCTGCCATTATGATTTTCCCTGGCTGTTGTAAAAATGGAGTGGGCTTTGGTGCTGACAGCTCCTGCTGCTGTCCCTGGAGGAGTGCTGGGAAGATGATCCTGTGGGACAAGATGTGATGCTTGGAATTGTTCTGTGGGGTGTCAGGGGGACAAACTGCCTCTGCACACTGGATAGAGCTGACTGCTGGGAGGGGGTGGGAGGGGGGAGGGGGGGAAATCTCAAATCTCTGACTGGGCAAAACCTCCCTAGACACATCCTCATGTAAAGCAATTGCTTTTTACCATTAAAAATAGATCGGTGAATTCTCTGCTTGCCTGCTGAATGCTGATGCCTGTAATTCTTTGTCATCCTCGCAATCTCCTCTGCTTTGAGCTTGGCTGCCTCTTTGTCTGGCACCTGAGCAGGGTTCATTCAGCAGTAACAGATCCAGAGATAAGTGTGAGCTCTCGTGTAGTCTCCCAGGGCTGGAAGAAAGGTGAGGAGACCTGATCTGATGCCATTTAGCTGCTTGGCCTGCAACCCTAAAGGAGCATGGCTTGGTGCATTTGTGGATGCTTAATGGTCAATACCAGTGATGAGTTAGACCTTTTGATATGGAAGCTGGCTAGAGGGTGTGGAAGCTCTGTGTATGTCATGATATATCACTCACATTTGGAACCGGCTGCCCAGGGAGGCGGTGGAGTCACCATACTTGGAAGTGTTCAAGAACGGGATAGATGTGGCACTGAGGGACAGATCAATGGGCATGGTGGGGATGGGCTGGTGGTTGGACTAGATGATCTTAGTTGTCTTTTCCAGCCTGAGTGAGTCTATGATTCAGTGTATGGATAGAGGAAGAGCTGCCAAATGCTTTGATCCTCCCCCCCTCAAGTCACCTCAAGACTGACCTGATGAAACCACCTGGCAATGAATCATATTAGGGAGGAGAGAAGGAGAGAGTAGGGTAAATATGCTAGTGTGGGCTTTGCCTGTCTTATGTGCTTTTCCTAGATAAAGAAAATCCTTTGAAACTCATTGTTGGTGCTTTCTTATTGTGGCTGAGAAAAGAGGTAGAGCCCTGGCTGACATTCATCCCAAGTCTGTGTGCAATTTAGCTATTGTGTGCATGAAGGAAGGTTAACAAGCCTTGAACCAGGTTCAAAAAGCCTTGAAAAGTGCAAGAAACAACCTTGACGAATATGCCTTTCCATGGAAAATCAGCTCCCTTTCATTTGAGTTGAATTCTGGGTCTCCTAAGAAGAGCCTGAGTTTTGATGAGCTTAGGGTGGCATCGCTGGGCATTAGCCTACACAGGCTGGAAAACTGTGATAGAACATACATCTGTACCTCAGCTTACACTGGTTGAGATCAGAAACTGTGTAAAAGATGCCAGAAGAAAGAAAATCCTGTTATTGTTCTTCAGTGAGTCTGGAAGCCCTGGTGGCCGTTTCTGTACAGGGACATGTGGCACAGGGCAGATGCCAGCAGGTTTGCTGAGTGCTTGCTTCACCTTCTATGCTTCCACCTTTTACCTCACCAATAGCTGTCTCAGATTTATTTCATCCTGTCACTGTCCTTATGAAGTGAAATGGGGATGCTTTTATCTACCTCAGAGTACCACAGCTCAGCCCAGTGCTTTCTTTTCCTTAGCATGTAGGTATCATGGGAAAATAGTCTGCAGGTCCTGGACACCCTTTCTTCAGGAGACAAAAATTGCACCCAGCAGGTATTTATGGTATTTGGTTTCTTAGGACAAGAGATCAGGACCAGCCCTGTGAAGTATCTAACTGCATACCTTTCTGGTCTGCCTCTGCCTGGGCTTACAGCAAAAAGGCAGATGAAATGTTGGAGATCCCAAGATGAGCCCATGGGATGGAAATGAAATAGCTTTGGTATTAGAAAGCAGCATGCATGGGAGCTCCATCTGCAGCATGGGCAAAGGCAGAGATTAAATGGCTGACTGGTCATGGATAACCTTTGGTCTTGTGTTTTGTAGGCTTTAAAGGAAAGCCTGTGTTCATACTACAGGAGAAAGCCATATAAGTCATCTTAAAAGTACAAGTCTAAGAAGAGGAGATAGTGGCATTGTCATCTAGACTACAGCAGTATAGCCTGCTATTTTTCCCTGTTGGCTTTCCCTGCCTTGCAGTACTCCAGAAATAATTTTGGAAGGAACCAGATCACGACCATTATACACTGATGTGGGCAGGCTGGGAGGTGATTGCATTTGCAGCTACAACCCACCAAGCATTGCTGGCACAAGCCATGTTCTGGACCACTCATGGTGGGCACAGCTGGAATGCAAGCTCCTTCTTCTCAGCATCATCCTCCAGCGATGATGCCTCCCTCCACCATCCTCTGGTGATGGAGGCTGCCTCTTCCCAAAGCCCTGTCTGCATTGAGGGTTGGGAGGGGGCTCTTGTCTTGGAAAGAAGGCACTTACCACTTGTGGGAAGTGGTGAATGGGGAAGTGAGGTGAGCGTCAATGGGGCTGTGTGAGGCTTCTCTGTCTTGGGAAAGCCTCTGTGAGTCCCGGAGGGTGAGAACAGAGCGGTGGTTGCAGAGGGACAGCACAGTGATGCTGCCTCATCTTCACCTCTAGGGAAACACAAAATGTCTCTTCTCATCCTTCAGCTTCATCAGGGAAAGGCAGAAGTGTAGCCTTTATAGCTTAGTAGTGAGTATGGTTAGTAATGGGTTTTAACCTCATTTTAAGGAGGGGTAGACAGAAATGTGTATTTTTCTTTCCATCTAAGCAGAGAAATCCTTTGTGCTCTATTTTAAAGGGATATAGAACAACTGCTAAGCGATTGGCAGCACTTCCAGTATGGCTACTGCAGGCATCTATGGCTTTGTCCCAGAGCCACCACAGGGGATTATTCATGCTCCAAATTCCCCTCCCCAGATGAAGGCTTTCATCTCTCACCAGGAGATGCAATGCAGTTCACAATGCTAGGAGAAGCAGGAGAGGATCAATAGATGGGCTGAGCTGCAAAGCAGATGGGATGGAGCAAGGAGAGGCATCCTGGAGCTTCATGATAGCCCATCTTGCCCCGTGCCGGTGGCTGGGCTGGAGGCAGTGACTCGAGCATCCTGCAGGATGTGAGCTGAAGGCACTGCGGTAGCATTGCCTCGGGCCAGAGACGCAGCCGTTGCCTGGCAGCTGCGAGTTTCCAGGGAAACCAGAGGTGCTAACTTGTTAATGAGCCCCACGTCCCCGATTGCTGCCGCAAAATAATAATAATTAGTAATAGGGCCGTGTTTTAGGAATCCCTCAAACAGCAGGAGCCTGCCGAGGGGAGTTTGCTAAGTGCCGAAGCACTTGAAAGAAAAGAAGGTATGTGGAAGGAGGAAGGGCGGAGAGCTTAGCAAAACTGCCGCCTTTTACATCTTGATCTGTGTCTGGAGACTGGGAATCAGCAGGGTTCTGCCAGTGTCCTGGGTGGTAAGCCTGGGACTGCTGGAAGTTCTTCAGGAACGGCTGCTCTCAGGGGTTACTCTGGGATGGTGAGCGGGCATTTCTCTGTGGTGGCAGCCCTGTTGGCATGCTCATGGATACCCAAGCTCACTTATGTGATAGAAATGCTTTTGAGAAGGGTTTGGATTGGAAGTAACCTGGAAGATCATTTAGTTCCAACCCCCTGCTGTGGGCTGGGACATCTCCCACTAGACCAGGTTGCCCAAAACTCCATCCAATCTGGCCTTAAGCCTACAGCTTCTCTGATGGGATCAGAGCTGCCAGTCCCTCGGATATAATTTTTTCCTTAGCTCTGTGCTCAGGCACGACTGGGTGCTTCTTCCAGCACATCTGTGGCCAGGTTTGACCCTTCTTTCAGCATAATCTGTGTGCAGCCTACCTCATGAGGCAGTTCATGGCACCTCCATGCTCTCTGCCAGCAGCCAGTCATACCCTGTTTCTGGTCTTCAGCTTCATTTTGTGAATTCACTTCCTTTGCTAGAAGCAGATTTTGGAAGTTCAGCACAGATCTCCAGAAATCTTTTGCAGCTGATGAGTAGCAGTGCACCTGAGGTCCTTTGTTCTGTGCTCTTTGCAGACTTGGAGGCTTTTTTTTACTGGTAGTATTCCTCCTTTTCCTCTGCATATTAATCTCTTCTGTTTGAATTTATTTTGAGTGGAAATGGGAAACAATGGTAGAAAGAATTGGAACAGGAGCTGGAGAAAAAGAAAGCTCAGAGGAATAAGAAGCTGGCTTGCCCAAGGCAGCAAGGGGAGCAACTGCTGATCTGGGTCATGGGTGGAGGGAAGGTAGGGATCTTCAGAACACAACCACAGGTGGATATGCCAGTTAGTGAAGTTTATGATTGCTGCAAAGACATGCTGGCCTTCCTGTTAACATCTCCAAGAGAAACTAGAGCTGTGCCCTTCCTGTAGCCACGTATTTCTGCTGGGGCCTTGTGCAAGATGAGAAATTGAGGAAGTGGCCGCCACCTTGGCAACTGTTGAGCCAGCACAGGAGTGCATTCCCATGGTCCTTCCTGCCACAGGGGCAGACTTGGGTCAGGGTGTGTTTTGGGGTTTTCTTCTGGCTGACCAGAAGAAGGTCACAGGCAGGAAGACTCCCAGCAAGCAGGTGTCTTAATGCCTATGCATTAAGTCCTCTGCTCAGCTTTCCATCCCTCAGCTGCAGCATGGCCCCTCCTGTTTTGCCATCCCTGTTCAGCTAAGCCGTGTGTCCATCTCCTCATTACAGGCACTCCAGGGAGAGGTGGGATTAAAGGATTGTGGTAATGTTCTTCAGGAACACTCGAGAAGATTATGATGGCTTTAATAAACTGATAAGAGAGGGATGCAGCTAGGGTTTCTGAAACCCTAGCTTAGGCCTCAGGTTAGCCTTTACCTCTTGTGTTGGAGGCTGGTCTCTGGTCAGTGTGGTGAAGGAGTAGGTCTCTTACTTCAGCAGTGCTCCTCCATGTCTGTGTTCCTTTGCTTTTCCTTGGCATTTGCACTTTGGTTGTCCAAGAGAAAGGCACTATGCAAGTTCAGAGGGACCCAGCTCCTCCTGAGCGTTCAGTCTACCAGTGAGGTTATGCTTGCTTAAGACCGTGCTCAGTTTGTATTTCCCTCCCTGGGCAAGGCTTTAGGAGAGAAGAACAGAATGGGACTATCTTGCACTGCCTCTTTCCACCTCTCCCATGTGGAACTGGGCACAGGACCTGGCTCACTTGTGTCACCTCTATCTGCCACCGGGTCCGACTGGCAGTGCTGGTGCAGACAGATGTGTGTTTGGTTGTTCTGCAGGAGGATGGCTGTTAGTGCAGAGGGAAAACTCCCCTTGTGTCTTCTGATTTCATCCACCCAAGCTCTTGGTCATCTGTCAACGCTTCATACATGGGAAGCCTCTCTCTGAGCGAAGGAGATCAGGAATCTTCTGTTCTTCCCAGACCCCCCATAGTTCACCCTTGTTCGTTATCTGAGGAGTAGATACTCTGTTATCCCTAGAGATACAGTACAACATGTCCAGTCCATTGGATCACTCCTTTCTCTTACTTCAACCTTTTTTCTTATCCCTCTGCCTCAGCATTATCCCCATCCTTTTTTGTCTGTCACCTTCCTCTGCTCCCTTTTATTTCTTGGATGTAATTGGAGGAGCCAAGAATTCGCAGCCTGCTGTCCTGATGGGGAAGGGAAGCAGAAAGCAATTTGGGGAGTGGGGTGTGAAAGAAAGACAAAGGGTGAAGGGGGGTGGGAGGGGAAAGCTGGCTAATTTGCATCCTTTCTGAGTGCCCTGGCTCTATAGCCAAGGTACAGCAGGGGGTCTTCTGGCAAGGCGGCAGCAACGTAATGAGGTGTGTCATATCCCAGCAGGGGCCAGCCTCGCTCCCTCTCACACCCCCTAATTAGAACTGTTTCAATTTTTAAGCCCCCCTGGAGGAGTGCTGTGGGGAGGGGGAACTGTGAGCCGCCTGCTGTGGGGCCAGGGACAGCGATGCCATAATGCCAAGGGGTTGCAAAATGCTTTGTGCCAGAAGGGGCCACCACTATTGCAGCTTTTAGGGGATTTTTCTTTTTTCTCTCTAAGTTGAACAAACGTGTTAGCAGCATGTATGTGTGCAGGGATATCTACCCCCTGCTTTGAAGAGCAGGTCTGACAGCCTGGGGAAATAGGAGGGCTGCTAATGCTGAGGTTGGAGAGCTGTAGATGCTGAAATATCCTCACGTTCTGCAGCTGTACATCCTTTTCCTGCAAGCTGGCTGCATCTTCAAGGTTTGGTGATAGGTAGCAGAGGTTCCTAGTTCAGAGTTGGAAAGAACCACTAAAGGCCATCTGGTCCATTTCCCCTGCAATGAACAGAGACACCTACACTAGATCAAGTGCTCAGAGCCCTGTCCTGCCTGACCTTGAATGTGTCCTCAGCTGAGGCATCCACCACCTCTGTGGGCAATCTGTTCTGTGTCCTGCCTGAGCAACTTTTCCTGGGTGCCCTTGTACCACAAGGGCTTGTGATGTGGGGAGCTCCTGAGAACTGTTGCTTGCTCTGAGCAGGGTGACTCCTGTAGTCCATAGACTAAATCCTGGCCCTGCAGAAGTCAATGAAAATCTTTACACTGGCCTTTTCAGGTGCGGTAGTCATAGTCTTAATTCAGATGCATTAAAGCCTCCATGCAAGAGCTTGTGGGTTCTGTCTAAAATGCTTTCTGGAAGAAACAAGAAGAGCTTGGTAATAGCCCTGCTTATTTTCTGAATGGCTGTGGCAGCATTAAAACTTAATGCCATTAAAACAGGCCTGCAATGACGTGTGCCATTAAAACCTAAGAAGACTCCCTGAACGGATCATACTTGTTGACCCATGAGCTGCTCTTGGAGCAAATTCAGCCCTCCTCGGCTGCTAAGATGGAGCCTCATATCTCCCACTGTGCGTGAAGCCAATTTTAAAGCCTGCACAAGTCAAGTACCAAAAAGCCACAAAAAAAAGCTTTCTTAGAAAGTGTGGCTATCTCCTTGCCCCACTCTTCTGAAGGCCAAGCTCCAGGCCCAGAGTAAGCACCAAGTTGAGATGAGAGAGAATGACCCTTAAGATAAGCCAGGGAAGGCTCAGGTTGGATGTTAGGAAAAAATTCTCAGAGTGTTGAGGCACTGGACCAGGATGCTGATGGAGATGGTGGGTTCACCATCCCTGGAGGTGTTCCAGAACCACGGGGATGTGGCACTGAGGGATGTAATTCAGTGAGCGTGGTGGGGATGGGTCAGTGGTTGGTCTCGGTGACCACAGAGCTCTCTTCCGATCTTAATGATTCTATGATTCTGTCATTCTCATCTATGCTGTCCTGCCACCTGACCGGTGTGTCTCTATTCTCCTCTCTCCCCAGGTTCAGCACCATGAGTAGGCAGCCTGGGCGCTAGCAGTGTGAGGAGCCCAGCACGGTGCTGCTCCGCTCACACCTTGCCTCACTGCTCATCCCCGTGGGGAGAAAGGTGCTGGCAGCCCACCCTGCCCTTCTGCCCCGCTCACCCTAGAGCGGACGGGCCCGTTATGGCTGGAGACAGACTCCCACGCAAAGTGATGGATCCAAAGAAGCTGGCCAGCCTCCTGCGGAACGGAGCGGAGGGCACCCTGGTCATTGATAGCCGCTCCTTTGTGGAGTACAACTCCTGGCATGTCCTCAGCTCTGTCAACATCTGCTGCTCTAAACTGGTCAAGAGGAGGCTCCAGCAGGACAAGGTCTCTATCACAGAGCTCATCCAGCCCACCTCCAAGATGAAGGTATGGAGATATGGGGATAGGGAATGCTTCTTTGCCCCGCTGGGGATATGTATGCTTGCAAAGCCATTTCCTGCAGGGGCAATGTTGTGCAACCTGCACCCTCTCCTGCACCCTGTTGACTGCCCTCTCTTCTTTGACACTGCCTTCCTTCTGAGAGCTGGAAGACCAATGGCCACAGGGCTCTCCTGGATGACTTGTTTATATCCCCCACTCCAGTGACATGCCCTCCCCAGGCCAGTCTAACAGGTACATCAGCCTCAGGAATTGCCCTGTGCTGGCAAACAAGCCCCAAATCCTTCCTGGAGCTGTAAGCTTAATCCCTTGCTAAAAACTCTTCCCCTCCCCTCTGTCATCTCTAACTCCATTCAGGGACATGTAATCCTCCTCCCTTGTGACGCCAGGAGCTCTTATCCGGTGTCATGGCATATTATCTCTCCCAGGCTCCTCTCTCTATCTCTACCCGTTAAATAATAGAGGTGGCTCTGAGCCATGGCTGCCAGCCGAAATAGCACTGGGTGACCCCGTGGTGGCCCAGGCAGGGTTCTGCCCACCCTGAGATGCTGCCATCGGCGAGACAGTGGAGGGCGCCTTGTTCCCTTTACACCCCAGTGCCTCAGAGTCCCTTCACCTCCTCCACCCAGCATCCCTGAAGTAGCACATCCCCACTGCAGTGCAGCTTTGGCATGGGGATCCCCACCCCTCATTTTGGAGTGATGCTGTCCCATGCCAGCCCACTACTCTACCACTGCACTCCTGCTTTTCACATTCCCCAGCTCCTCCCTGCTTGTAATTTTATGGCAAAGCGAGGGTAATTCAGGCGATTAATCAAATGCTGGGCCCAGCTGGAGCCATCTGCAGCGTGTCCCCCCCCCTCGCCACCCCGCAAAGCCACTGCCGTCCGTATTGGCTGCTGGTGACATCACCCTGCCAGGATCAAGGAGTCGGAAGGGGGGTTTGGGGGGGGGGCGGGTAGCCTTGCTCCAAGTTGCTTCAGTGATGCTGTGGGCTGGGTGCTTTGGAGGGGATTGCAGAGAATGATTCCTGAACGGCTTGAGCCGTTTGCAAATCCCCAGGGGAATAAAGCAGGAATAATCAGTTTTCATGAGCTGGGAGCCAGCGTGGTGCAGCTGCCCTCCTCCTGGCGAGGGTCACCTCTGCAGTGGCTGCTGTCACATGGAGTGGCAGCAGCAAAAGCACTGCAACTTTGTAGAGGGGGAGCTAGAGGAGGATGGGGAGGGGGTGCACGAAGAGTTAACATCAGCTGATGCCATTCTGCCTGCAAGGCTGCGGTTCAGCAGCTGCAGAGATGCCGCAGCAGGCAGCAGTGTCTCCCAAAGGATGCTCCTGCACCAATACCAGTGGCTCTTGTCCTGGTTCTGTTCTGCTAAGGATTGTCCCCAACCTTCACAGCCATCCTGGGGTTGCCAGTGTCCCTGTGGAAGGAGCAAAACTACCTCCTCCCCACTCCTGCATCTTTATGCAGCTGTCCATCCTTTCGTGGGGATGTGGTACCTAACCCTATCCGGGTGGGGACAGCGAGGGATAGGGGCATGGCTAGCATTGGGAGCAGATGGCAGGAAGGGTGACATCAGTGGTGCAATTGTCCGGTCCCATTATTCCTTCTGACGGGCCTCCCGCCCTCCTCCTGTTTCCTGTTCTCGGCCAGGGCTGCCAAGACAAAGGCAGCTGGGAGCACCGCCATGTACCCAAAAGGATGGGGTGCTGCTGAAAGCCCAGCTCAACACGCTCCTTCCTTGCTTGTGCAACCCCAAAAATCTCAGCCCTGATGGGCATCGGTCACTGTTTGCCCATCTCTCGGTTGAGAAGCACAGTTTTCCATCCAGTATGGCAGAGGATGCTGCTCACAGCTCTTTGGGATGCTCTGGTCTGGGGGGTAACAGCAAATGCAAATCTTGGGAAAACTGCTTGGTGGGAAAGAAGAAAAGGGGAAAATCAATATTCCTCTGTCCTTTCATTGCAACATGTCTATCACCTGCCCTGGAAGCGGGGATGTATCTGAGCCAACCCTCCCTGAGCCGTGACATGTGCTGTGTTCCCATTGTACACACATATTTTCCCCAGGAGCTGCATGACTGGAGCAGACCTGTGGCCCACAGTCTGGGCTAAGAAACTGCAGCACTTATCCATTTCCCAGCGAATCACTTTTATATTTTTATTTTATTCTGAGGAATTCTAATTTTTACAGCAATGGTCTTCCTTGGCACAAAAACGCTCTACCTGCATTGGTTTTGTTTTCAAACCCAATGCCAACTGGAACCATTCAGCTCCTCAGAGCCATTTCAGGGGAAGAGGGTGTGGGAAATTTGTTGTCTGGGGTTCATTTTGAGTTCTGAAGGGAAATGCTGAGAAGTTCACTCCTTTAAGATCTCCTTGGAAAGTCTTCCCACATCTTGACCTGTTCTCTCTTCCCAGAATGTAGCTGTCTCTGGGAATGGCTGTAGCAGTGGTTCGAGGCATGACAGCAGTCTACGAGGGCTGTGGGGATGTGTTTATTTACTGGAGGAGCCCAGCTCTGGAAGCAGCTGCTTTGCTCTAGGGAAAGCCAGGGCTTATTTCTGAACCCTGTGCCCGGCTGCTTTTTATGTTTATGGAAGTGGTGTTATTTCAGTGGAGTGATTCACTCTGTTTTGAAACAGTATGTGACTGAAATGTCTGGAGTAATTGGGATAATAAGAATGCCTCACTCTTATCTTAGCCCAGCTCACCTGGAGGGCTCAGACTGTCCTGCATGGCAGATAAGTGCCATTTGGAGGTATGAACCTATTCAGTGCCCTCAACAGAGTAAGGAGATACACGTGAGAGATACCTCTGGGGGAGGAATGGGCTCCCCAGGAATGCCCAGTGGGTTCTCCAAAGGTGATGCTCCTTCAAGGCTTGGGGACAGAGACCTGAGTGACTTGGTGGGACCATAGCACCTGTGGTAGGAAATGGTTGGTGGTTGGACTCAGTGATGACAGTTGAACTCAATGATGGTTTGACTAAATGATAGTTGGACTTGATGAGGGTTGGACTTGATAATTTAGAAGGCCTTTTCCAACCTAGATGATTCTAGGGTTGTGTGAAATACCTGTTCTATCTGAGCCATGGGACTGGAAATGCCAGCACTTCCATGTGTGATGTGTCGTGAATCCTTCATTTCGCAATGCATGTTTTTCTTCAAGTCAGGCTTTCTCCCCTTCCCATTTCCACAGCCCTTGCCCACCATGCTGGATATTTGTTTCTGCAGCGGGCCATGCAAGGCCAGTGCTTGTTTGGCATTTACATCGAGTGAAACCTTATAACTTTAATAAGATGTAAACCGTGTCACACATATCTGCTGTTGCTCAGCAACCCTGCAGTAATGGCCAAAACAAAGCCTCCCCGTGCAGAGGGAACACTAAATCCTATTGTGGGATAATTCTGCTCGGCCAGAGCTGTTATCTCCCGTGATGCCCCCCCGTGGCCATCCTGGACGGGGTGCGAGCCTCTGCCCAATCCCCTCTTTGCCTCACTTTTGGGGAGATGCATTTGTGGTGCTTCAGGCTGAGTTTTCAGGACAGCATACTGTGGCGGAGGACAAAGAAAGCCATGAAGAATGTCAGTGGCACATCCAGAAGTGGCCACTGATTTTACTCACCTTGCACAGTTTTCAATGTCTTATTTTAAAATTCTCCATCCTTTCCTCTTCTCTCTCCTCCTGCCACTTCCTTTTCTTTCCTCCCTTCATCCTGCTGACCCACTTGGCCAAACTGGCTTCCCGGTGCCCCACTGATTTCCAATGGCTGTTCTCAGCCCTGCAATGAGTGATACGCTCTGTAAAATCCATGTGCACTGCAGTTTTATTGGGATGCAACTCCCATTTCAGGGCAAAGGGGAAACTGCATAGGATGTCAAAGCTGCCCAGCTGCTGCTTCGTTACAGCTTAAGGTCTGGATCTGCTTTGGGAAGATGTTGGCACACCTCAGGGTGTTGCAGAAAACTTGCCCTAGGGATTGGGGGAATATATTTTGAACATAATGTTTGTGGTTGTGTTACTATCTATAGCAACTCAAAGGTAATGAGATAGGGAAAGCGAATGATAGAGCAAAAGGAGGGGAATGTTTATGAGTGCAACCCAGTTGAAGGAGTCTCATAATGAAGTTCTGATCCTTACTGAAGAGATATGCACGGGGAGGGTTTTGCTGATCACCTGAATGGGATGCAGCAGCTCCAATTCTCTCATTTCACTGGGAGTGCAGAGGGATGTCACACCAGAAAGGCTTCCTGTGCATGGGGGGGAATGACTGGCTGGTGTTGATGTTGGAGTACTCATTTACATCTGTGGGGCAGACACAGATATGCAGTACCCAAACCATAGTGGTTGTGCTCCCCCCACAGAACACCACGTGCAGAATTGAGTCCGGAGTTTCTCTAATGCCAGTTTTTTGCTATTCCTCACAGGTGGAGGCGGAGGAGCACCAGGACGTGGTGGTCTATGACCAGAGCACACGGGACGTGACCGGCTTGGCTGCTGACAGCTTCCTCTCCATTCTCCTGGGCAAGCTGGACAGCTGTTTCCACAGTGTCTCCATCCTCACAGGTAGGAGCAGAACCTCTCAAGGGCAGCAGAAGTGATGATGATGATGATGGTGGTGCTGTTGCACTGTAGGATTATGGTCCCCTCGGTGTGGCTCTGTGTTACCATTTCACTTGATGCTTATGTGGTTATTGTGGATTTATGGTGTAGTGGCCATATGCTCTGTGATGAGAGTGTTATACTGAAGGGAAAGTTGAAGCTGCCTCTAATTCCAGTGGCTGGGGAACTGCCTGGCTGGCTACTTCCAGCCCAAACCATTCTATGATTGTATACTTGGGGTAAATGCCATTAAACCAGAGTTATGGTGGGGAGAGCAGAGGAATAATGGGAATAAAACACCCAGGTCTGACAGTTTGAGGATTTCAAAGGCAAGCAAAGGCTACGGAATCATGCTAAAGATGGTTAGCATGGAGCTATATTGAGGCCAATGTCCAAGGTTTTCATGGTTTACCCAGGGCACAGCTTGGTGCATAATGCCAAAATGGAGAATGTAGATTTGGTCATGTCCTGGAGGAAGTCTGCCTTGTCTCTGGGATGTCAGGAAGAAGCCTTTGTTGCAGACCTAAGAAAATGCCATGCTCTGGTCCCTTGTAAGGATGATGTCACTCACTGACACCCAGCCCATGCAAGCAAGTGAGCACCCCTGGTTTTGACAGCTGTCTCTGTTCTCCCTGGATGTGGCGCCAAAGACCCCCATGCAGGTTTGTGTCTGCCTGCACTAGGTGTGTGAGAAGGAGTTTAAGACACCCAATTAAAACCCGTTTACAGGCTTCCCAGACCTTCCCTTCCGCCCTGCCTTCCCCCTGCTGAAGTCCTCAAAGAACTGCATTCCCGACTGGTAATTGCTGAGGTTTTGGCAAAGCCTCTACTGCTCCCTGTGCCTCAGGATGGCAAGCAGCACGGCCTGGAGCCTGCTAATGGGGAATGCAGGCTGTTAATGCATGGAAAAGAAGAAAAAAAAAGAAAAAAAAGGAACTGAAATGTAGCACACTGGGTCATGGCTGCTGAGTTTTATATGGAAATCATGACTCAAAAACACTGCTGAAAGCATCCAGAGGGAGGCTGGGCATGCTTTCTGACACACACAGTTTCCTCCTTGCTGTAATGTGGGCAGCAGCCGGGATATTTTTGACCCAGGTCTGCAGTGCCTGGGAGGTCTGAAGGGGATGTATGTGAGGCCAGAGCCTGACCCCTTGCCAGGCTCAAGGTAGGGCCCCTCTGCCTTGCAGTCAGGTATGCATCCTACTAAAGCAATGGGTTCCATCCTGATCTTGCCCACATCCATGTGGCATCCCTACTCCTTGGTCTAAGGAGATGGGGGAGCACGAAGAGACTTCAGCCCAGCCCAGGCACTTCATCCTGCTCAAAGCCATCCCGCTGCTACCCTTCCTCCCCATCCCATCTGTGGCAGTGGGCACACACTGAAATTTGGAGAAACCCAGAGACTTGCTAAAAGGTGCAATCAACTGGGTCCTAGGCATCCCCAAACCAGTGTGCCTGCCCTAAGCAGTCCCAAAGCCATTTGGGATCCCCAACTTGCGTTGTCCACAGCAGGGACAGGACACAGGAGTCCCAAGTGGGTGGCTTTAGGCTCGTTAGTTTTCATTTGTTTCAGTGTCCCAAAACATCACACTTGGTTCTTGTTGTTCATCAATCCTGTTTGAATCAATCTACCTCAGAGCAGCTGGTGGAGGCTGGGGTAAAACCCCAGGAACTGAGGTGGCAGGAGTGAGGGCAGGGACTCCTCAAGGGTTAACAGCCCCAGAGCAGCAATTCCAGCAGGGCTCAGAAGGAGGAATCTGAGTCAATTATTCCCAGTCTTGGAAATCATCATCATCTCTTCTTTCTCCACCTCCCCCCCCCCCCTTTTTTTTTAATTGTGTAAGTATAAATAGTGCTGCTTGCTGCCCTCCATCCGTGGGAGCAGAAAGCCTGTTGATTTATATGGTTTTCCTGACATCACATGAAGTGGTGGAAAACTGAATGGAGCCAACATTTTTCCTGCATTACGTAATGCCCCCTCCCTCCCTTCAGCCCAGCTTTGCTATTCCTGCAGGAGCCTGACTGTTCTTTAACCTTTGTTTATTTCAGCACAAACCCTTGCTTTTTTTCTTTGCTTTTTCTTTTTTTTTTTTTTTCCCTTTGCAAACCCCCGCTTTGTTTTTATTAGCAGCCATTATCTGTTTATGAAGCGGCAGCAGTCTGGCTCCATCGGTTGCTGATGGCTCAGGCAATGGCAGCCCTCATGCTGGAGCCCAGCCAGCGCTGTGGTGCTGAGCATCTGGGTGCTGAGCATTAACGCTCCTCTGAATGAAAGCAAACAAAGCCCGATCTCCCCGACCTCCTCCACAGCTCAGCAAAGCGGTGGGTGAGAGCTTGGGATGCTCCTCCAGATGATGATTGCACAAAGCAGGGCTCCGGTTCTTCAAAGGAGATGATGTTCGACTTCCTTAGGGATGTTCCAGTTTTTCACTGGGTCCAGTATGGAGAGAGTAGGATGCTGGTGGAGAGTCCTCAGCTTTATCTTTGCAGTATCGCACCGACCTGAAACTGGCCCCTCGCTTGCTGAGCTCTGGTCATGAGCTTTTCATCTGGCTCGAGAGCACATGTGAGATCATCTTCGGCCCCCTGCCCCCTCTCCGTTTGTACCAATTCTTCAAGGAATGTTTAAATTTTCCAGTCCTGTTCTTTCTAAATTTGGAGCGTCTGTTTACTCCCAGGATTTGGAAAGAATGTAACAGTATCATCAGTGAGAAATCCCTCCCAGGCCTCTCCATCCTCCACCAACCAGCCTTCTCGGTGCTACTGGTCTTGGCCCAGGTCTTCTCCATCCTGGCAGTGCCATGGACAGGGACAGTGATGGCATTTGGTTTCAACTCTTGGTCTTCCCCATTGAAGGTGTTGAGTTTTCTTGGGCAACCTCTCCAGTGGAGTGCAAAGCTTGGGTGTGTTCTGTTTTCACTGTATGGTGAGCAGGGGGAATGGTTTTAAACTGAGACGGGAGAAGTTTAGGTTAGATATTAGGTGGAAGTTTTTCAAACAGAGGGTGATGACACACTGGTTGCCTGAGGAGGTCATGGATGCCCCATCAACATTCAAAGCCAGGCTGGATGTGGCTCTGGGCAGCCTGGTCTGGTGGTTGGTGACCCTGCACATAGCAGGGAGTTTGAAACCAGATGATCATCGTGGTCCTTTTCAAACCAGGCCATTCTATGATTCATTCTGATTCTGTGAGATGAGGTCTGTATTGGAAGTTTCATCTTCTTGGTGAGGTCACTCCACTTCCTAAGGGGTGAGTGTTGCCCTCCCCAAGGAGCTGAGAAGCAGAGAGAACGAAAGGCTCGCTCTCATCATCATCATTAAAGTGTAATGATGGTTGCAGAGTTGTAACTGAACAGTGGTCTTGATGTGGAGGGGGCTGATCTCATTCACAAGCTCCTCAATTACTGAGGAGGTTTGAGAACGAAGGAATTTTGTATAAATCTACCAAAGCCAGGTGACTTAAGAGCAGGCAAAGCGTAAAGTGGAAAGAAAAAAAAAAAAAAGGGAATTGACATTGCAAAAACTGATCTGAGCTACCCAGCACCAACTGGGCTCAGCACTGGCTGAAACAAGGGCCTGGGGGAAGGTGATTAAAAAGAAAAGAAAAAGCACTTTTTCAGAGGTGTGGTGTTAGGGTTTTGTTTTGTGTTTTTGCTGCACTGGGACAGTCCTAAAATGAGCTTGAAAAATATCATCTGAAACCAGAGGCAGAAAATACCCCAAGCACGCATATTTTTGAGTTTAGCTCAGAAGATGGAAGGTGGCAAAGGCAGCTCTCTTTATTCCGTGCTTGCGGGTGGGTTTGGTTCCCACAGAGCCTCTGCCAGGCATGTGGGTCTGAGGATGCTCGTGGAGGCCAAGTGTGAGGGCTGGCTCAGGAACCCTTTGATTGTGATGTCTGAGAGCATCTGTGGGCTTGAAAGTGAATCCAGCAGATAGATCCACACGTGCTTTCCTCTAAAGCTCATCTAAAATCTACTCCCGTGAAGAAACAAAAGAGGATACGTGGACAAGCGCACCAAGTGTCCCAGAGGTAATAGCACCCTGCTTTCCTCAGGAGCTCAGTGTGGTGCATAGGGGGGTACCTGCAGCGACTCTCCTCTTTTGCCTGCCTTTAAATGCCAGATGTTTAGAGAGCTGGATGCAGAGCACTGGTTATGTGGGACCACAGGGCAGGATGCTGCAGTGCTCACTGCATTTGAGATGCTTCTTCAGGCCCAGTCACCCAATCCAGAGGGTTGAGGTGGCCCCTTCTCACACCACTACCAGAGCCAGGAGATGTCTGCAAGGGTTTGGGCTCCCTTGGGACCATCAACCGCATCCCTGGGAGGGGTTAAGCCAGGTCATGTATGTGTGAGCTGATTGTATTCCAGACCTATGCTCTAAACCTCCCTGTTTAGCAGCGCTGTCGTCAGACAACTTGTTTTTCCGATTCTATAATTACCCCATGGATCTTCCCTTCCCCCTCCAGGCTGCGTTTTCAACATTTGGACCCAGAAAAGGCGAGCAAAACGGGGCAGGGGAGGAGACGGGGCTACAGAGGAGCAGCCCACCGGTTGCTGAGACTTCAGAAATCATCATGTAATTTCATTTCTCATTTCTGGAAAGCTGCAGGGAGGAAAGAAACTTCCCCAGGAGGAGATCGCCATGGGCAGGAACCCGTGCCCGGTTATGATTTCCTTCCTTCTGAGAAACCTGCCTCCCCTTTTCCTGAGGCCTTGGCCTCCCACATGCAAAGGTCTGCGATTGTGGTTCTTACCAGGTCCTGGTGCTGGGTGGGGAGAGGAAATGCTGGCTGCAGCCCAGGGGACCACAGGCAGGAGGGAGCTGGGAGTAGGGCTGTGCCTGGGGAAAGGTGCCCGCAGGTCTGCTGCCTGGTGGAGAAAGAAGGCTGCATTTATATGAGAGTAGGAGGTACGTGGGTCAACATCCCTGAGTAGAAAACTAGGTCTAAATGCATC